AGCAGGTGTAAGGAAAGACGCCCAGTAAACCATACCCCCGGCCGGGATTGAACCCGCGGTCATAGAGTCTCAAAACTCCAGCCCGTCGCGTTAGCCACTAGACCAGCTAGCCACAATAAGATTCATCCAACTAGGTATATTTCTACACCATAGGAAAGTTAGCACAGGCACCTCTGTGACACAAATGCAAGTTTTTACAGACGAATCTCCAGCTAGCGTGGCCGTGACGAACTCTAGCTCAAGTCCCTTCACTGCCGTCAACATGACTTAAGAAATCGTAATGACACGATTGCAAATAAACCATACCCCCGGCGGGATTGAACCGCGGTCATAGAGTCTCAAAACTCCAGCCCGTCGCGTTAGCCACTAGACAGACTAGCCACATATAAATTCTCCAACACTAGGTATATTTCTACAAACTAGGAAGTTAGCACAGGCACCTCTGTGACCACAAATGCAAGTTTTTACAGGACGAATCTCCAGCTAGCGTGCCGTGACGAACTCTAGCTCAAGTCCCTTCACTGCCGTCAACATGCTTAAGAAATCGTAATGACACGATTGCAAATAATCCATACCCCGGCCGGGATTGAACCCGCGGTCATAGAGTTCTCAAATACTCCAGCCGTCGCGTTAGCCACTAGACCAGCTAGCCACAATAAGATTCATCCAACTAGGTTATATTCTACACCAATAGGGAAAGTTAGACAGGCACCTCTGTGACCACAAATGCAAGTTTTTACAGACGAATCTCCAGCTAGCGTGGCCGTGACGAACTCTAGCTCAAGTCCCTTCACTGCCGTCAACATGACTTAAGAAATCGTAATGACACGATTGCAAATAAACCATACCCCGGCCGGGATTGAACCCGCGGTCATAGAGTCTCAAAAACTCCAGCCCGTCGCGTTAGCCACTAGACCAGCTAGCACATAAGATTCATCCAACTAGGTATATTTCTACACCTAGGAAAGTTAGCACAGGCACCTCTGTGACCACAAATGCAATCGTGTCATTACGATTTCTTAAGTCATGTTGACGGCAGTGAAGGACTTGAGCTGAGTTCGTCACGGCCACGCTAGCTGGAGATTCGTCTGTAAAAACTTGCATTTGTGGTCACAGAGGTGCCTGTGCTAACTTTCCTATGGTGTAGAAATATACCTAGTTGGATGAATCTTATTGTGGCTAGCTGGTCTAGTGGCTAACGCGACGGGCTGGAGTTTTGAGACTCTATGACCGCGGGTTCAATCCGGCCGGAGGGTATGGTTTATTTGCAATCGTGTCATTACGATTTCTTAAGTCATGTTGACGGCAGTGAAGGGACTTGAGCTAAGTTCGTCACGGCCACGCTAGCTGGAGATTCGTCTGTAAAAACTTGCATTTGTGGTCACAGAGTTGCCTGTGCTAACTTTCCTATGGTGTAGAAATATACCTAGTTGGATGAATCTTATGTGGCTACTGGTCTAGTGGCTAACGCGACGGCTGGAGTTTTGAGACTCTATGACCGCGGGTTCAATCCCGGCCGGGGGTATGGTTTATTTGCAATCGTGTCATTACGATTTCTTAAGTCATGTTGACGGCAGTGAAGGGACTTGAGCTAGAGTTCGTCACGGCCACGCTAGCTGGAGATTCGTCTGTAAAAACTTGCATTTGTGGTCACAGAGGTGCCTGTGCTAACTTTCCTATGGTGTAGAAATATACCTAGTTGGATGAATCTTATTGTGGCTAGCTGGTCTAGTGGCTAACGCGACGGGCTGGAGTTTTGAGACTCTATGACCGCGGGTTCAATCCCGGCCGGGGGTATGGTTTATTTGCAATCGTGTCATTACGATTTCTTAAGTCAAAGACGCCCAGTGTTCCACCCTCACCGGGCATCGGACCACGGACACAAACACTACGGCAGTATTATTTTATATTGCATTATTTTACCTTGATGCTAGCGAGGGCATTTTGATCCAAGAAACTAGGCTACCTTTCTTCTTCGTTGGATGTAATCTGAATTCTCCCAGGCGCTATGATGCCTACTGGTTTAGTGCTTCCCTGATTAAAGTGAAACAGTTGTGAACGCCATCATCTTTAAATGGCTGATTCATTATGAAATGGATGAAAAGTTTCTTCTCTTTAGGATGTGTAGGTGCAAATTTTGTTGGATTTTGTGCAGTAACTGTAGACTGCCTTCTGGTCACCATTAAAATCTTAATGCTGATGTGTTTCCGCAAAGAAATCTTTGCCTTGATTTTAGGCTAAGTTTATTGTTGTTGTTTTATTAACCAAATTGGTTTCTGTGAAATATAGAGAATGTCCCTCTGATCACCAGTAAATACAATGTTGAAATTTATTGGGTTAGCCTAGCTTAAATCTGCTTAACGTAATTTATGTCTATAACGTGTGTGCCCTGGAGACAATATGATAAACAAATTATGTACCAAGTACTTAAATAAAACTGTTTTAATTATTTTCTGACTTGCGTACTTAATGGTGGTCAGTGTTACTTTGAGAAAGGATTGGACTGATTTTGGGTTGGTTAGTGTCAAATTTGCTTTGTCTTATGAAAAAGAATTTGGATAATTGAAAATGCTGCTTTATGATATAATTTCTGTCTCGTTCTGATTAGCATCGTATTTTACGATATTGGTCTTTTCGAAATGTTTTAATGAGATTTGGACTGTGTACGCCCCAATTCACCGTATTTATTGAGGAAGTGAATATATTAGTTTTTATATGATGACTTGTGGATGCCTCTTCTGATCGCTTCAATCTTCATTGGTGTGTTTAACTGTATTACAAACATATGCCACAGTCTGCACTATTCCAATCGCAAACATTGAGGTACAGGGGACTGGGGTTACGCTAGACGGAGGTACATTTCTCGGGTCGCTCACCCATGGAAATGGTCTGTTTTAGGTTGAGTTACGCTGGATTTTCTTAGGTTATGTTACAATTTCTACTGTTTCCACAAGATATAATTATGTCTCACGAAATCGTATGACACGATGCAAACAAACCATACCACGGGCGGGATTTGAACCCGCGGTCAGAATCTCAAAACTCCAGACCGTCGCATTAGCCACTGGCTAACGCGCGACGGTCTGGAGTTTTGAGACTCTCTGACCGCGGGTTCAAATCCCGCCCGTGGTATGGTTTATAATTATGTCTATGGCATAAACCAAATATAATTACAAAGCTACATTGTATGACTTAATTGAGCTATTCTAGATTAGATCTACATAAGCGTGCCTTAAAAAATGTTTGTTTTGTATCTTGTGTAATTATGTAGCGCTTTAATAAAAATTTAGGGCCCACTGATATAAATCCTACTATATGACTGTATTGGAGTGTCATCTTATCATGGGGTAGTTTCTAATATAGCGCCTTTGGTTCACATCTGAAGGACTTGGCCTAGATACCAGCTCAAGTGGATTATTGGTATTATCACATTCTCAAAATGCTCTCAACCCGAGATAGCTTAGTGGAGAGTGAGGCCTCTCATCACTCAGGTCCAGGGATAAATAAGTTTATTTAGGTGCAGGTACACATAAGTACTGTTACCATGCAGAGTGACATATGTGTAAATTACCTGGGATAACCCCACAACAAGTCAGAGTGACTTATTACCATTGGGATCTTCTACAACTCCGTTCAGTGAAAGTTAAGATGTTCGGATTTTTAACCTGGGGGGAAGGGGGAGTGTTAGCCAACAAGGATAACCCAAGGGTCAGTGCGTCATCGGGGACTGTCTGTCTTATTTCCATTGGGGGTCTTTCAGTCTTGTCTTCCAGGGCGCCGCCCACAACAGTCGACTAACATCCAGGTACCTACTTTACTGCTAGGTGAACAGGGGCAGCAGGTGTAAGAAAACAAACCCTACGTTTCCACCTATGCCGGGGATTGAACCATGGGCACTCAGTGTGAGAGGCGAGAGCGTTATCTACCAAACCACGGGACACAAGTGGAACTGTCGGGCATATTTTCTTGCACCTCTTCACCTAGCATTAAGTAGGTACCTGAGTATTGGGTTGCATGCTGGGATAATGAGAAAATGGCCGCAATGAAAACAAGCCAGTTTATTTAGGTACAGGTGCACATAAATACAGTTACATAGATTATCATACATAGCAGTATATGTGTAGATTACCTAGGACAACCCTAAAATGTCAGACAAAGTTGCTTATTTCCATTGAGGGTTCTTGTGATAAGTAATAAGTTACATAGTGTCTTTATTGTGTTGTCTTGTGTTACTGTCCTTCCGGATTAATAATTCCAAATAAAATCACCGGTACCAAACAGCTTTATGCAGGAAACTTAAATATAAATTTATTAAGGCACAATGCTTAATTTTATTGAATTATTCTACGTTAAACCCCAATAAAAGCGTACCTATGTACTCACCTATTTGTACTCGCCTATTTGTGATTGCAGGGGTCGAGTATAGCTCCTGGCCCCACCTCTTCGCTGATTGCTACTAGGTCCTCTCTCTCCCTGCCCCATGAGCTTTATCATACCTCGCCTTAAAATTATGTACTGTACTCTGTTGTATAGTGTAGGCTCTCAAGACTATTGTAAAAATTTATGTATGTAATGTACCGAGTATCTAAAATCCTAGATAAAAGGCTACTCATATGCTTACTACTACTAATAAGATATTACAAGGACCCCAGCGGAAATAACTCTGACATTTTTAGGTTATCCTGGGGAATTTATAGAAATGTTACTATGTATGATAATTGTACTTATGTGTACCTGAGCCTAATAAACTTACTTACTTACTTGCCAACTTACTTATTTATTTACTTACTTACTATAATATATATGTGATAATATCTGTATACCCTCAAGACAATATTTTTTTTGTACGCTATGTACGGAAAGTCAAAATAAAAACTTAATGTTTTGGATAACAGTGGCTTTATAAATATAAGAAACTACAGACGTAAAAAAACAATCCCAACAAGACAAATGCATCAAACAGGACAAGAAGCATTTTATTATCATTATATGAGAGGTATTGCGCATTGCATGTGTTGATGTTAGTGAAGGAGTGAGGCATTGTGGGAGCTGTGGCAGCGTTTGTTGTGATCATGTTATGATGATAACTCTCGTCTGCCTTCTCTCCCTTCATCACTGAGGACGTTATCTCTGATAACTGTGAGTACCGGGGGTGTTGCAGGTTGTAGGATGATGGGGGGGTTGTTGCAGGCTTCAGGATGGCGGGAGAGAAGGCTTGGAGGGGGAGGTGAAGCCTCGCTGGGCACCTCTGTGATGGATGTCGCTCATTGTGCGTCTTGTGGCTACTAATTATGTCTGCTTGACACTGATGCTTGCTTTCAGGGGGTTGGGGGCCTTGATGTCGTCGCCGAGGAGCTCTTGATCCAAGGATTGGTCATGTTATTAAGTGTTGATGGAAACCTAGGTGCCTCCCAGTCGCTCTTTGATTCTATGGGTTTAGTGTCTCTCCGAGAATATTTAATAATTAAAATGTTAATTCTAAATTTATATTAACCCCTAATTAGGTATTAAGGAATACGTTACAATTTTTTTTTTGAATGATTAAAATGCAATGTTGCATTAATATTTCATGATGACATTAACTAGTATTAAAAGTGTTAAACAAATTTTTCATGATATAATTTGTCCTTATTGCAGCTTTTATTTTTTGTTAATTTTGTCTTTGTGTGTGTATACGTGTGTGTTGTATATCTTTTTTTTTTATTAGTATGAATGCTGAGTGACCTACCCGGTCAGGGTTCTCACTAAATGTCACCCCTTCCCATATCACCTTCGTCCACCTCATCACCACCTCTGTCCACCTCTCCACTGCTTTTTTTCAACTCTGTCCACCTCCCTGCCACTTTTTTCAACTCTGTCCACCTCCCTACCACTTTTTTCAACTCTGTTCACCTCCCTACCACTTTTTTCAACTCTGTCCACCTCCTACCACTTTTTTCAACTCTGTTCACCTCCCTACCACTTTTTTCAACTCTGTTCACCTCCCTACCACTTTTTTCAACTCTGTTCACCTCCCTACCACTTTTTTCAACTCTGTCCACCTCCCTACCACTTTTTTCAACTCTGTCGACCTCCCTACCACTTTTTTTCAACTGTCGACCTCCCTACCACTTTTTTTCAACTGTCCACCTCCCTACCACTTTTTTCAACTCTGTCCACCTCCCTACCACTTTTTTCAACTCTGTCCACCTCCCTACCACTTTTTTCAACTGTCCACCTCCCTACCACTTTTTTCAACTCTGTCCACCTCCCTACCACTTTTTTCAACTCTGTCCACCTCCTACCACTTTTTTCAACTCTATCCACCTCCCACCACTTTCACCTCCATCCACCCCCCTACCACCACTTTCACCTCCATCCACCCCCCCCCCTACCACCACTTTCACCTCCATCCACCCCCTACCACCTCTTTCACCTTCCTACCACCTCTTTCACCTCTATCATTCACTGCAGAATGATCCTTTCAGATGGAGCTCCCTCTATGAAAATACCACTAAGTTAGTGTTTGCTTTATTCCTATTGTATCTCCTTTTATTATAACTGATTTCACATAGTTGAGTTACTAAGCTGTTTTAACTTTTCAGGTTTAAATAAGATGATGTTACAAGGACCCCTGTGGAAATAAGTTACTTTGATTTTTGGGGGAATACTTGTATGTACCTCTACCTAAATAAACTTGCTAATCCTAGATTGTCTACATAAGTGTGCTTTTTACATACCTGGAGTATACATGTATACATGCCCAGGCATTATATAGCCCGTATGGGTTTAATGCATCGGTGGCTTGTGGCCTGGTAGGTAACGTTATTGCTTCATGTGCTGAGTGTCCCTAGTTCAATCCCAAGCAAGGGTTAAAACATTGGGTGTGTTTCCTTACACCTGGTGTCCCATTCACCTATCAGGCAAGAAGGTACCTGGATGTTAGTCGACTGGTGTGGGTCACATCCTGGGAACAAGATTCAGGATCCTAATGGAAATAAGACGGACAGTCCCTCAATGATGCACTGCCTTTCTTGGGAAATCCTAAGTGGCCAATCCGAACAAATCTCACCACGATTACAGTGATAATGTGAAACTGCCCTCTTAGATGTGATTAATGTACAGTACAGTATAACTTGAATGTAATACATTTTTTGCAATTTACATCTGCAACAAATATGATTACGTATATTGCTTGTGGTTGCAGAGGCATGAGTCACCTGGAGAATGGCTCTGTGGTGTGGGTGCGGCTGGGGCAAGCATGGTGGCCAGGAACCATCACCACCGTTGCCAAATGCCCACCCGAGTATATCCAGGGACTCCGCAAGATGCCTCTAGCCATTGTTAAATTTTTCCATGAAAATGAATTGTAAGTATAGTACAGCTTCATAGAGTTAAGACTTTAAATTCTCCATGTTGCCAGCTGTTATTCTGTCTGTTGCCATTATGAACATCATTAACAACACAGAGCACTTAGAATGTGTACCTTACAAAGAAAGCAAATGATACTTTAATCAGTACACAAATAACCCGCACATAGAAGAGAGGAGCTTACGACAATGTTTCGGTCCAACTTGGACCATTTACAAAGTCACACTAACAGAAAGGAGAGGAGGAGGGAGTATATATAGAAAGTCACTAACAGAAAGGAGAGGAGGAGGGAGTATATGTAGGCCAACAGACATGGCAGGAGCAAGAGAGGTAGTAGTGGAGGTAGTAGTAGTAGTAGTAGTGGTGGAGTCAATCAAATGCTAAGAAAGAGGAGCACTGCTTGAATGTCTAGTCCAAAAGTAGTTACATAGTGTACTAGAAGAATAACTTGTAGGAGTAATAATATGTAGAAGGTGCAGGGTGACTCCAGTCAAAGTAAGGATGATAATGCTGTACTATATTGAGATCAGAGATCCACAGCACTTCGTCTGTCTAATAGCAAATATAAAAAAAAATAATATCTAAACAAAGATAAATATTTCATAAAGGACTTATACAGGCTTTTGCAGTAGTTCCAGATAAGCTAGGTTGCTGGTGAAGCACTCTTGATCCAGGGAATTAAGAGCTATCCTTCCCTTCCTTGAATCAAGCCTGATAACCTCCAATTTCCCAGGTGCTGTATCAGTTCTAGGGGGTGTAGCATTTTCTTTTAAATACATACTGTAAATAGCATAATACATAATCCAAATTTGTGGGCTAATAATTAATTGTTTTAGCCATGTTATTGTAGTTCTTTTCATTTTAAAATTTAACTCTTAAGCCACCAGTTTCATACTTCCTTGCCATCAGCGTAGGCATGCTTCCTCTGCTTTTCCATCTTTTAATGGATTTCTGGTTTTCTGTGCCATCTTGGGACTGCCCCGGTGGCTCGGAGACCATTCTCACACCAAAAACTATTCAATTAAGTTGCCTCTGTTGCTTGTAATCCAGTTGGAATAACACGAAGTACAATTATGTATGGTCGGGTATCAGGTCTAGGTCTTGAGAGTCTCTACTAGGCTTATTTCTTATCCCTAGATCAGTGATTCCCATTTTTCATTACCAAGATTTGAAGCCACATTTTTCTTATAACCCAGTTAGTACTGATACTAAGTACCCCAGTGAACTGCTGTAGACTTATAGCATAATATTAAAGAAAACATTGGCAAAAATCCTAGGTAGTAGGTTGGTAGACAGCAACCGCCCAGGGAGGTACTACCGTCCTGCCAAGTGAGTGTAAAACGAAAGCCTGTAATTGTTTTACATGATGGTAGGATTGCTGGTGTCTTTTGTCTGTCTCATAAATATGCAAGATTACAGGTAAGTCTTGCTACTTCTACTTACACTTAGGTCACACTACACATGTACAAGCATATATATACACACCCCTCTGGGTGTTCTTCTATTTTCTTTCTAATTCTTGTTCTTGTTTATTTCCTCTTATCTCCATGGGGAAGTGGAACAGAATTCTTCCTCTGTAAGCCATGCGTGTCGTAAGAGGCGACTAAAATGCCGGGAGCAAGGGGCTAGTAACCCCTTCTCCTGTATATATTACTAAATTTAAAAGGAGAAACTTCAGTTTTTTCTTTTGGGCCACCCCACCTCAGTGGGATACGGCTGGTACGTTGAAAGAAGAAGAAGATTGGCAAAAATTACAAATACACTCATTTTTTAACAGAGTTCCAAGAATACATGTAGTAAGAATCTCAAAACTCGTCAAAGGTATATGAAAGGGTCGCAACCCAAATTGAGACCATGACCCAGGGTTTGGGAACCCATGCACTAGATCAAACTATCAACAGGGGGATAAATGTATGCTACAGTAGACCGTTATATTACGTGGTAGATATGTTTCTGAAAATGCTGTGTTAGGTAAATCCGTGTTAGATAAACTGAAGAACTTATGGGACAAAGAGGGTTACATTCCTGGGAGCCCCAAAAAAAAGCCAAAAAATTTTTTTTAAACCTCTAGATCTTAATAAAAATGAAAGTGAATATGCAATTGTAGTTCATTGTTGTGATGTATTATGTTTTTCTACTGCTTAAGATACAGAAGCAACGGAAATAATAGTAGTATTTCTTACCTTAAATTGTGGGTGTGTGTTTGTGGATGATTGTGGAGAGTTATGCTGTGGCCCTACTGGGCTGAGGTGGATAGTAAAAATTCTAGTACTGAAGTTGATGGTTGTACTGGAATGTGCATAAATTCTGTAATGGATTTCTGGCCTGTTTTACCCCACAGTACATTATGCAAGTGATGGTAAGGCATCAGCTGCTCTAGACACCATTTCAGAGTCATTTTCAGGGAAAAAGTCTAATTTTAAGTCAGTAAGTAAATCAGTCAAGTCAGTCAGCAAATCAGTCAAGTCAGTAAATCAGTCAGGCAGTTATTCATCACACAAACTCGTATATTTACCTCGTTCTTTTTAATTGCACAGTAACGCTTCATTACGGCCACAGGCTATCTCTTGTCTAATACAGTGGACCCCCGGTTAACGATTTTAATCCGTGCAAGAGGGTTAATCGTTATGCGAAATAATCGTTATGCGAATGAATTTTCCCCATAAGAAATAATGGAAATAAAATTAATCCGTGCAAGACGCCCAAAAGTATGAAAAAAATTTTTTTTTACCACATGAAATGTTAATTTTAATACACACAAACTGAAAAAGGCATGCACAATTAAATGACACTTACTTTTATTGAAGATCTGGTGATGATTGATGGGATGGGAGGAGGGGAGAGCATTATCTTCTTACTGTTTAGAAGGGGAATCCCCTTCCATTAGGACTTGAGGTAGTAAGTCCTTTTCTGGGGTTACTTCCCTTCTTTTTTTAATGCCACTAGGGCCAGCTTCAGAGTCACTGGACTTCTTTCGCACAAGATATCTGTCCATAGTGGCCTGTACCTCTCGTTCCTTTATGACTTGCCTAAAGTGTTTCACAACATTGTCAGTGTAATAATCACCAGCACGGCTTGCAATAGCTGTGTGAGGGTGATTTTCATCCATGAAGGTTTGCACTTCAAGCCACTTAGCACAGATTTCCTTTATCTTTGTAGTAGGCAACTTCTTCAATTTCTCTCTCCCTCCTCTGAACCAGTTTCCTCAGGTCTGGCCTCTTGCTCTTGAAGTTGATCTATCAGCTCATCAGTGGTTAGTTCTTCATTGTCCTCTCCACCAACTCTTCCACATCCTCCCCACTAACCTCCAACCCAAGGACTTTCCCAATGCCACAATGGATTCCTCAACTGGCACAGGATTCTCAGGGTTAGCCTCAAACCCTTCAAAATCCCTTTTGTCTACACATTCTGGCCACAGTTTCTTCCAAGCAGAGTTCAAGGTCCTCTTAGTCACTTCCTCCCAAGCCTTACCTATAAGGTTTACACAATTGAGGATATTAAAGTGATCTCTCCAAAACTCTCTTAGAGTCAGTTGAGTTTTGAGGTCATTACAAAGCACCTTTCAAACAGAGCTTTTGTGTACAGTTTCTTGAAGTTTGCAATAACCTGCTGGTCCATGGGCTGCAGGAGAGGAGTGGTATTAGGAGGCAAAAACTTCACCTTAATGAAGCTCATGTCCCCATAAAGTCACTCTGCCACGTCTGTAGGATGACCAGGGGCATTGTCTAACACCAGGAGGCACTTAAGTTCTAATTTCTTTTCAGTTAGGTAATTTTTCACATTGGGGGCAAATGCATGGTGTAACCAGTTATAGAAAAATTCCCTAGTGACCCATGCCTTACTGTTTGCCCTCCACAGCACACACAAATTCTCCTTGAGGACATTCTTTTGCCTGAACGCTCTGGAGTTTCAGAGTGATACACTAATAAAGGCTTCACTTTGCAATCACCAGTAGCATTGGCACACATCAACAAAGTAAGCCTGTCTTTCATAGGCTTATGTCCTGGGAGTGCCTTTTCCTCCTGAGTAATGTAGGTCCTGCTTGGCATTTTCTTCCAGAACAGGCCTGTTTCATCACAATTAAACACTTGTTCAGGTTTCAGTCCTTCAGTTTCTATGTACTCCTTGAATTCCTGCACATATTTTTCAGCCGCTTTGTGGTCCGAACTGGCAGCCTCACCATGCCTTATCACACTATGGATGCCACTACGCTTCTTAAATCTCTCAAACCAACCTTTGCTGGCCTTAAATTCACTCACATCGTCACTAGTTGCAGGCATTTTTTTAATTAAATCCTCATGCAACTTCCTAGCCTTTTCACATATGATCGCTTGAGAGATGCTATCTCCTGCTAGCTGTTTTTCATTTATCCACACCAATAAGAGTCTCTCAACATCTTCCATCACTTGCGATCTTTGTTTCGAAAACACAGTTGAACCTTTGGCAAGAACAGCTTCCTTGATTGTCTTTCTGGTGCCCACAATAGTAGCGATGGTTGATTGGGGTTTCTTGTACAGCTTGACTAGGTCGGCTATACGCACTCCACTTTCATACTTATCAATTATCTCTTTCTTCATTTCTATAGTAATTCTTACCCTTTGAGGTGTAGGGTTGGCACTAGAAGCTTTCTTGGGGCCCATGGTCACTTATTTTCCAGAAACAGCACCGAAAATACTGTAATAATACGAAATATTCCGAGTGTATGCTTGGATGTTACCGCTGAGGCTGGCTGGTAAACAATGGGACGGCCGGCACATGTGAGGCTGGCTGAGGGCACATTGGACGCGTCTCGGACGAAAATCGGTAAGGCGGGTTTTTAATCGGTATGCGCGGCAAAAATTTTGCGATAAAAGTAATCGGTATGCGGAAAAATCGCTATGTGATGCCATCGTTATGCGGGGGTCCACTGTACCTCAGTTTTCTTTGTTAAGTTTGTTAACACTTTCACCAACACTGGTATGCCTACTGGGTGCCATGAGTGCTTAGCAGATACAAGAT